CGCTCTCCTCCTCCTGCAGCAGTCCCTTGTAGGTCTCAAGGAAGTGCAGCAGCACGGCCAGCACTGCCCGCTTGTGCCGCAGCCCAGCCCCGTCCTCCCAGCACGGCAGCACGAAGGTGGCACCGTCAAGGAGGCCCCACGGCAAGGAGGGACCCCGGGCACCCCCTGTGAGGGTCCTTGTGCCCACCCTGGTGGCATCCCACTGCCCACCCTGTACTCGAACCCGTATGTCAGCACTATGGCACCCACACTCCTACACTCATGGCACCCCTATTCCCCCCCTCCTTACTGCTCCCACCACAACACCCTGCTGCTCTCCTCCATGCCCACCCTTGTACCACCCTTGTGTCACCCTTATGCCTATCATTATGTCACCTTCATGGCACTCTCATGCCCACCCTGATACCCTCCTGGTTGCACCTTCATGTTCACCCCTGTACCACCCTCATGCCCTCCCTGTGCCCAGCCTTAGACCCTTCCCCACTGCATCTTTGTGCCCACTCTCATTGCACCCTGATGCCCTTCTCATGCCCATCCTCGGACCCTCCTCACTGCACCCCCATGGCACCCCAAAGTGACCCCCCAAGGATATTGCTGGTGCAGCTGCTGCAGGAAGCACTCGGTGGGCAGGAAGAGCGAGTGTGTGAGCACGATGTCATCCAGGAGCGACTCTGGAGGGGATTTGGGGGCAGAAGTGGGCACCACACCCTGCACAGCCCCCCAACAGCACCCCCAGGATCCTGCCCCTCATCAGAGCAGGCAGCCAAGGGGGGTAATGCCAATTCCCAGTGTGGCACTGGAAAACACAGAACCCCCATGCTACCAGGAGGGGGTTTTGGCACGGCCGGGTGACACAAGAGGCCAATCCCAGTGGTGATCCTGTCAGTGCCAGCACCTAGCGATCTTTGGACCGGGCACCGCTCCCTCTGCAGCACCAGAATAACCCTCGACCCTGGGCCCTGAGCAGGTCCCATCTGATGGGTGCCCAGGGCTGTGTCCTAAGCTCCAGGACCACCATGGTGGGACACCAGGGTCCCCCCCAGGGTCCTCTCAAGCATCTCCCAGGCCCCAGCCCATTAACCCGGCCATGGACCACCATGCCAGGGCACAGTGCCCGTGGGGGACAAACTGCCACCAAAGCAGGACAAAGCAGTTTGGGGCATAGGCTGGGGCCCGCCAAACCCCCCGCACCCC